GCCGCCTGTGCGAAGCGCACCCGGCGTCCCTCCAGCGGCTCTCCTACCAGTACCGCATGAACGGCGACGTCATGGCCCTCTGCAACGACCTCACCTACTCGGGGAGGCTCCGCTGCGGCAACGCTACGGTGGGGCCCCAGCGGCTGGTACTGCCTAACCCCGACGCGATCCCGCCGCCGCGGAGTCCCTCCTCGCTCCCGCCGCAACTGCTGGCTCCAGCGCCTGTTCCACCGTCGACTGGTGCTGTTGTTGGTGGGGGTGGTGCTAGCGGTGGCCGTACCGCAGGGGGTGCAGTGGGTGGTAGCGCTGCTTACCCCGCCGCCGCCGCCGCCGCCGCCACCGCCGGCGTGCGGCGGAACCACCACCCCGCCCGCCGCGCCTGGCAAGGCAAGACACCCCCCCCCTCACCCGGCGGCGGCGGCGGCGGCGGCGGCGGCGGCGGTGGCGGCGGCGGACGCACGAGGTCTTCCGCCGATGCCGGGCTGACGCCGTGGTTGTCGGAGGTTTTACACCCGGACAGGCGTGTCGCCTTCCTAGACACCGACGCCATCTCTCCAGACGATGGGGAGGCGGTTGAAGCAGGGCACGGAGCGGGGGACGGTGGCTGGGGGGGCGGGGCTGGGAGGCCGCCGTTTGCGGGTTTGGAGGTCCGGTCCGTGGCGGAGGCCGGGGAGCAGCTGGGACGGGGGACGCTGGTCAACGCCGTCGAGTGTGATGTGGTGCGGCTGCTGGCGTGGGGGCTGGATGTTGCGGGGTTTGACCTCGGAGGGGTTGGGGTGATTTCCCCTTACCGGTCGCAGGTAAGGGCGTTGTTCCGTGACGAAAAGGTTTGAGAATTTTTTGTTTGGGACAGATTACAACGGTTTCTCCTCGTTAGGAGCTTGTCAAGGACGTTGGTCGAAATATGTTTTGTTTTGTGACGAGAAGGTTGACACAAATCTTTTGTTTCGAACGGCATGCAACGGTTGCCCGTCGTTCGGATCTTTTGCAAGGATGGAATATTCAAGACGGTTAATGCATAGAATAGTGCGGGTGCCCTGTATAGGGCGGGTTAATCGGTCTGGCGCATATCCGCGTTATTGAGGGCCTACGTCGGCACAACCACAGAGAGACTGTGGGTGCCTTCATGTCTTCACAGTACGCGTTGAGAAAACCTGGGGGGGGGGGGGGTCCTCTAGAAACCAAGTGAACATGAAGTTACTCTATTGTTTTTGAAGTTTACTCAAATGTTGATTTGATTTAGTTTTCCAACATGCAGGTGTCGTATTTTTTCGTGCACCCTTGACCTTCTGTACGGGTCTGGGCCTTCACTGTGGCTGTGATTTTTTTGTTTAGGTAGTCTCTCGTTTCCACCGGGCGTTTCAAAAGGCTAGATTTAAGTCAGTTGAAGTGAACGATAGCTATCACTCGAGAGAATCCTTGGTATGTTTTTGAAGGTGGTGTTGAGAGCACAGAGGACCTTGGTTATGCTTGTTTTTCACTGCCACTTTTTCTGTGTGTCCGTGCCTACAGGTTCAGCTGCTGCGGGCGGAGCTGAAACCGTCGTTCCCTGCTCTCGAGGTCAACACCATCGACAAGTACCAAGGAAGAGACAAGAAGGTGATGCCTTTGACTAGGCATGTATTTACGTTGACCACACAGGAGGAATTTTTTCTGGCGTCCATTTTTATTTTTTGAACGTGTACCCCCCCGTTTGGTGGGGCAGTTGGCTTGTGACCACGGAAGGCGTCCGCGTCAGCTGGACCAGTACGGACATTAGAAGGTACTGAGCGGAGACCGGAACGGTTTGTAATGTGAAGACCACAACAACAACAGCAACAACACATCCCTCAACGGGGTTGCATATTTTGGTGTCTGGTACGTTATGGGAGGTAAATATGATGTTTATTTCAGTCGGTCTATGAAGGCGAAGCGGTCGAAAGTTGCTCTGAACCTGTCGAAAGCTGCTTCGAAACAGACGAACGGCTTCCTGAACAGTCTCCACCGCTTACGACCAGAAAATACAACTTACAACTGTTTTGTTGTATGGGGCGATAATATTTTGGGCAATTCGAACACACGCGTGCGTGTGCGCGTGTGTGGTTCGGGAGTATTGAGCATATTTGAGCGTTCCAATCATATGTAAGTTTTTCTCGTTGATGCCGAGGGAGATGCATAAATGTGAAGCACTCTTTTGAGGGTGCTGCCCTCAAGAGAGTGGGTATCCCTTCTCCTGACTTGCGCAATGTTTGGGTACCAATCGTGCACTTTGGCCCCTAGAATCCCCCCCATCCCCGCCAAGCTAAACATCCATTGTAGGAACGTCTCTCAATTGAAAAACTTTTTTCGGCCGTTTCTTTTTTCTTTTCTGTGGGCTATCAAGCACCAACTACACCGGGTAGGTTGTGGTGCAGACCCTTGACTGACCACCTGTTTTTAACGTCAAATTCTCAAGCTGTTTGTTTATTCGCGCTGCGCGCTGCCCGTGCCGGTATACCAATCATTCACGTGTTTTTTTTCCTTCGTGCTTCAAGTGCTTACCGTTGCCAAACGCCAACATCGCCACCACTAGGTGATCGTGGTATCCTTCGTGCGGTCCAACGCCGAAGGCACCGTTGGCCACCTCCTCCGAGACTGGCGGCGGCTGAACGTGGCCCTCTCCAGAGCCAAGCACAAACTCCTTCTCGTGGGATCCCTCCGCACCCTCTCCAGCTGCGCGGTGCTGAATTCCCTCGCCGGCATTCTCCGGGACAGGGGATGGGTGTATTCTCTCCCTTCGGGGGCACACAGGATGTATCCCCGGGCCGCGGAGACCCAGGAGGGTGTCGGTGGTACGGGCCCGGTTCCCGGCGGGACTGTCAGTATGGTCCACGGAGGAGGAACGGGCGGGACTGTCGGCACGGTTCGCGTAGCGGGCGGGACTGTCAGGACGGTCCGAGAAGGAGAGACGTCGACGCCGTGGGAGGGGCGAGGTAGAAGTGCCGCTACCGGCGCTGGGAGCACTAGCGACGGTGGCAACAGTAGTGGTAGTCGTGGCGGCGGGGGGCTCCGTGAGGATGAAAATTCGAGAAGTGGACTAGGAGCAGCAGGCGTGCAGTCGCGGGGTAGGGTGCCTGCAGCTGGGGGAGATGGGCGAGGCGGCGGCCGAGGGGCGCGGCAACGATGTGCTGACTAGGTTGTTCTTGTTCTGGCAGCATTTTTCCTCTGTGTTCGGTGCACGGATGGTCCTGGTTCGACATGTAGATTGAACGATAGGCGGTCGCTGTTCGTGTGAGTCTAATTGTTGTTTATTTACATGCTTGTGTAAGAAACACCGCACATTGATCCCTGTCCCCAGGTCAATTGTCGCGATGGCTTCATAGCATGGTCTGACCTGGTCGCTTTACTGGTCCTCTCGACAAATAGTGATATCGTCCCCCTAACTTAAACTGCTAAGTCTTCTTTGTCGTCGTCTGCGCGAGGGAGTTGTTCGAGCAGAGAAAGTGTGTACCTATGACCCGGTGTTTTTTAACGGAATAAGGCCGTGGGTGATAATGATGCTTCCCGTTTTTTTTTTTGTAAAAGCCATCGGCACCTCGCAAACGAACCACTTTTGTATGCGCTGCAGTAAGCTGAAAGGCAAAGTGTTCTGGATCGGTATTGTTTAATCCCTGTTCGGTTTGCCCTTGGAAATTGTTTCCTGCGAGATGAGAGTACAATCATTAACACGAACAAAGACGGTAAGTCTGTCGCATAGTAGTGATGTACCAGGCACCCTTCATCGTGGTGATGCATAACTCTGCCAACGGCAGGTCTTCAATCGTTCGGTATGGCTACGGCTGGCAGGTGAAGACGTCGGCCAGAGTTCGGTCTCACGCTGAAGTTTAGGAAGGGGTTCGGAGAGAGACGGCCGTGTAGCGTACTGTTGTTTGGGCCAGCAGTCAGGAGCTTACATCAATGCTTATTTTTTCCAGGCCACCGCGTTAAGCGCCGCCCACTGGAAAATATACCTTGTTTTTGGGTACCTACGCCGAGGCATGCTCCTTCTCCGGGATTTATCATCCCCCGAATATTCCATTTTACCTTATGTGTTTTCTGCTTAACAGACAACAGCGCACGAAACCTGTTTTTTTTCATTCGACCATGACGTTTTGTATACCGAGCGATTTCTCGTATCACCGCTCCTTGTTGCTGTTGTTGTCTTCACATTACCAACCGTTCCAGTCTCCGCTCAGTACCTTCTAGTGTCCGTACTAGTCCAGCTGCCGCTCCACAGACAATGATGCCCTCAATGAGGACGCATTCTTGTCATTACACTCGCGCTGAGACGGAGAAAAATGCCCTCTAGTCCACTGCTGTAGTCTCACACACTGCAGACCACACGCGACGCCGATGTGCTGCAGCAGTCAAACATCGCCGCTGCACGATGGTGCTCTCCATCAATGATATATCTCCCACACACGATCATCTGCGGTGGAAGTAGCTACCGCCTAGTCTCCCGGGCTGCAAAGGCCACACGCGATGCCAACCACACTCGAATACAGCAGAGCACACGGGGGGGCTTGTTTCGCCCAGGTCTTCCCGGGCTGGCTCTCTGCATTCTAATCGATGTCACTGCTGTTCTGCAACACACGGTCACGCGAGAACCGTCACACAAGCTTGCCCAAAAGCGCGATTGCCTCCAGATTTAGGTACACAGGGTATATATTTGCTAACATTGCTGTACCTGAACACTTATTTGTTCTCGAATGTCTCCAATGCTCCTGCGCTCCTGCGCTCCTGCGCACTCCGACACTCCGACCCCCAAGATGCGGCGATATTTGAAAAATGCGGTCCGATTGTCCCTTTGAACAGGCACAATTTGACGAGACTGAGGACTGAGGTGGGGCGCATGCGTAGACTAGTTGGATAGTTCCTTTTTCTGCATTCGCACAACAGCAGTCGCATTCATTCGGCAGCAGCAGCTCAGCCTGTCAGCGGGTTTACGACGGGCAATTGACCTCGCTCACGCTCGACGGCTTCAACACGTGAGAGATTGGAGGTCACAGCAAGCGTGCTGTTTATAGTAGTGTCTGCCCTCAGCTCTCGCTGGAACCAAAAACGGCAACGTGAAGGTTGCAATAAATAACCTTGACGTCTGTTGGAAGTTGTACCATTTTATTCTGCCCCAGCGTCAACGCCTGCGTGCCAAGCTATAACCCTGTTGACCGTGCAAGCTCTACACGCATGCTCCCCGCGCCAATGACCAAATCGATCTGCTTGCAAAGGTGGCATACAGAGCTGCTGAGGGACCCTCACCACCATGGAAGAGGGTGCGAAGGTATGGGCCTCTGGCGGCGAGCGGCTGTGGGAGTCCGGGACAGTAAAAAAGAAGACCGCAATAGGCGACAGCTTCGACATTGAGGTGGTCCTAGACGTGGGAGGGAAGCAGGTCTACACGGTGTCCGGGCGGGACGAAGACGATAGCAAGAATCTCAAGCTCCGGAACGTGGCTGGTCAATCATCGGTCATCGAAGGACACGGCGTGGCTGATCTTACCTCGCTCACCTACCTGCACGAGCCGGCCATTTTGTTCTCGCTCAAGGAGAGGTACGGGAGGAACACCATCTACACCTACACGGGACCGATCCTGCTCGCGGTCAACCCGTTCAAGGCCGTCGATCTGTACACCGATAAGCTCCTCAAGGCGTACAAGGTGGGGCGGTCGCGCTGTTTCATACCAGTTTTTCCCTGTCGAACATGCTGAATCTTGGTGGTGTAGACATGCGGAGCAGGTAACGATACACTGAACGAGTTCATTCGCGTGCATGGAAAGATGCTAAGCCCTTGCTGGTATAGACGGTAGGCCCATCGATGACCCCCTCGTGGCGTACGCCGAATTCGCAAGATAGTCTGTGATATCGTCTACTACGGAGCATGCTGCTGCGGTATTGGGTGTATCAAGAGGGAAGGAGATCGGCTTGTTGTTTCTACCTCCCTATGGTAGGGCTTAGACTAGCGATAAAGATCTACTCAGCAGCTTTTTCGAGATTTGACAACTGCATGTATTGGCGAGCATGGCTTGGTCATGTCTCCCTCTCGCTATCTCGACAGGTTATGGATGATTTCGATCTTGTTGCCAGTCATTAGACTAGCTCACCCGATGCGTACTCGGTGGTACTTCGCGACACTAATGGTATCTGTATGTCCACGAGTGTGAGGCACATGTTGTTTTTCATCGCGTTCCCATGAGTGGTTCGCATACTGTCGCTCGACTTGTTATTTTTCTTCTACAGAACCGTATGCATACCTGTGTTATACAGAGACTTTTTTTTTTTCATATTCCCCGCAGCATGGTAGATCTCTGACTTGTCGCAGTTAAACTCATGCATGTTTCAACTTCAATACAGCCGACTGTGTCACGGCTTCACAGACAGTCACTGCTGCCATTTACCAGTTTTTTACTCGAAACCCAACAGCCGACAAATGAGGCACTTCTGCATGATCGGGGAGAGAACAAAGGGATCCACCCTACGTATGGCCCGCCAAAAATGCAGAGGAGTGCTCTCACTCTGGCAAGGACTATTTTGGGATCTACTGCCCCTTGGCACCAAAGTGAAACACAGAGTGAACACGGGCCCTTCAACTCACTCGGAGATAGGGGCCTCGATCGAAGATAAAGTAACACCCATCGGCAGTAGTAGTCTACCACACACTCACAACAGTTTATTCATGACAACATTTCAACACCTTCCCGTTCCGCCCGCCCCCTGTCGGCGACGAATTAATACTTCCACCAGGTGTGATGTTGTGTGTGGTGGAATTTTTTCTTATATGTGGATGGATTATCTTGTGATGTCGGATACGGTATCAAGCGCCGAAAAGAACAACTCACATCGATGAACACCTGTGGCAGGTGGATGGCGAGCGTAGGTCTTACGACCCGAACTTCGTTGAGACCAAGCCTCCCCACGTCTACGCCATCGCGGACAAGGCGTACCGCAACATGACAACACCTGCGACGGAGTACGGCCAGCGCTCGCAGTCTATCATGGTCAGCGGGGAGTCCGGCGCGGGCAAGACCGAGACTTGCAAAATCATCATGAAGGTAACGTTTTGTCGAACAGAAGAAAAGGCATTGTGTGACGCCTGCATGGACGTGTTACGAAAGGAAGCAATACACCGGTGAGAGATTGTCGGAAGGAAAAAATGGAACGAAATTCTGTGAAGCCAGGATGGAGGGGCTATGAAGGTACGAAGTGCACGGTCGAATGGAACATAAAACGAAGCAATAGTTGAATACGAAAAGCCAGCATGGAGGTGTTGCGAGTCCATGTTGGGTATCTACTGATAGTCGTGGCGAGGAAAGACAAGCGCGACACACACTTCCCAGCCTCGGGAATCACTCACGAAACCCCTTTCCTCTCACTTATATAGCCCAACGGCCGCTCCTCCGCTGTTCGACTTGCAACCAAGTTGTTGTACGACACAATGGTGTACATGCGCGTGAATTTAACGCCCCCACCCTTCGTGCTGTTTCTCGACATTTCTTGGTCCCTGTTTCTTTGGAATTGGACTACACGATTCCCATGCTTCGAAACGCACCCCTCGTTGCTCAATATCTCGCTCGTGTGTCTTCCAGCGCGGAACACCAATTCGAAAAACGTCGATAGTTATCGTTTCGCCAGTGTGTTCAGCCTCTCCATGTCCTCGTCGACGCCACCGGGGGGGGACCGGCAATCGATCAGAATATCAAGTTCAAAACGCGATTCTCGAGCGCTATACATTTAATGACACCATTTTTCCTGTTCACGGAAAATCATATATATATATATATATCTAGTTTTTACTCACTCACGCGAAACTCAAGTAAACCTGTGTTTTCTCGCTGTTGCGGTGCGCTCGTGCGTCGCTCAGTACCTGGCCATTCTCGGCAATGCCGCCGGTGACGACAACAAGCTGGGCACCATCGAAAAAAGGGTGCTTAAGTCTAACCCCATCCTGGAGGCGTTCGGTAACGCCCGCACCGTCCGAAACGACAACTCCAGCCGCTTCGGCAAGTACATCCAGCTTCTCTTCAGCGACAGGGGCAAGCTCGCCGGGGCCGCCATCAAGGTGCGTAATCATGTCTATTCAGAGCCCGCCCAAGTTCAGTGAGCCAACGAGGTTATCTCCGAATTGTACAGCTTCCCCCCCCACAAAACAGAGTACCTAAAGGACTCGTGCCCGTCGGGAGTCTGCCGAAATTCAACCAGCCAAAGGTAATGAAGCAGAAATATTATTGGTCCTAGAAAAACATCGATCTACGAAAAGGAGTCATTCCCTTTCAGAAGCTGACCGAATTAGTCGAACATCATCACTAATTCTCCAAGAATCAATCTCATCTAGCCTTAATCGCCCGTCTTCCGCTTGACCCCTTCCCACACGTGCGAAACCCGCTTCATTGTAGACGTTCTTGCTGGAGAAGATCCGTGTGGTGAAGCAGTCCAAGCTGGAGCGCAACTACCACATTTTCTACATCATGGCGGCCGGGGCGTCTCCCAAGGACCGCGAGAACTGGGAGCTACAGCCGGCCGGGAGCTACCACTACATGAACCAGTCGGGCTGCTATGACCGCCGCGACGGGGTCAAGGACATCGATCTCCACGTGGAACTCCAGGAGGCATTCTCGACCATGGGGTTCGACAAGGCGGCGCAGAACGACTGCCTCGGATGCGTGGCGTCTATCCTCGCCCTCGGCAACCTTGAGTTCGAGGAAATCCCGGGCGCTCGGGATGACCAGCAACAGGTTAGCCCAGGTGTTTTGTCACATCTGTCGTGCCGAGTTGCGTTTCTCTTGACCGGGAGGTAAGGTGTGGGGTGGGGTTGGGTTAGGCTCATTCACTTTCGTAGGTCTTCTGTATTCAGCAAACGTAATGGACAAAGCATTCAATGGGGGACGTTGGGTGACGGTTAGGGTCAGGGAATATGGTCTGCGTCCCCCTTCCCTCTTCTATTTCCTCAGGAACTTATTGGTCCCGCGAGGGCGGTCGCTTAGGCTTAGGCTTAGGTTAGTTTCTGAAGCAACGAAGTGGCTGATTGTTTGTGGTATCCTTGGCTGGAAACAACCGTACCGTGCCCTTCTGTCATGGCCGCGAGGGGTGGATCCTTTCTCTGGGAAGTTTGGAGCTTGAAAGGATTTCGCAAACACAGACCCGCACCTTACGGTAGTAGATCTAGCTCGCCGATAATTTAAAACGTTGTCGACGCCAGCACCAACTGTCTGACAACCCTTCCCTCTGTTGCTGGGGTCAACATCAACACCCTGCAGACCCTTTGCCCATCCACAAAAACCGACCAATGAATCGTGTGCGTTGCCTCGTCCCCAACGTCTCGGAACTGAAAAAAATAGGCGCGTTTGAAAGAGAGCTCCCTTGGGGCCATGAAGACGGCGGCCCGGCTGCTGGGGGTGTCGGCCGACACCCTCTGCCACTGCCTCACCGCCAGGGAGGTGACCGCGGGCACCACCCATGTCACCATCTTCCTGTGAGTCCAGCTGTGTGTCCCCTCTTCACGCCAATAAAAACACAGCTTCGACGCTTTCGAGATTTTGAAGCAAGTGCCTCGCCGACGGGATGTGACCGCGGGTACCGCCCACGTCACCATCTTCCTGCGAGTCCCAGCTGTGTTTTCCCTCTTCACGCCCATCAAAATACAGCTATTGCCCTGTCGAACTATGTGTTGTAGCTGCCTCGCCGCCAGGGAGGTGACCGCGGGTACCACCCACATCACCATCTTCCTGTGATCCCAGCTGTGTATCCCCCCTTCATGCCAATCAAAACCCAGCTATTACCGCTTTCAAACAGTGTGTAGTAGCTGCGTCGCCGACGGGGAGGCTACCGCGGGCACCACCCACGTCACCATAATCTGTAAACTCTTCCAGTACCAACCTGCTTGCTCTCTCTTGACCCCACACAACACAGCTTTTGCCCGATCGAACTTCTCATGTGTGACTGTACCTCGCCGCTATTGGGGTGATTACACCAGCGAATACAGACGTCGTGACGGCCCCTCGAGTCTAAAGCGACATCTCTTACACAGTGCGCTTCCGCCATCAGAACGGGTATTTCAATGTTCGACACCCCACCGAATAGCTCAATTCCCTCGGAAGAGTATCAGGTAGAGCAAATAGTCTATCGCAGATGAGGGGAAATTTTTCCATTTTATTCCTACGTGGCTGCAGCTTTTTTTCGCCCGAAAGCCTCCAACGTTGCACCCCTCCGCCGGTGTCAAGAAATGCGACGGAGGAAGAAAAATGTCCATCCAGGGAATCGTGGAAGACCTCACGGTCAGAGGTGAGAGACAAAAGCCGGCTTCACCCACGTTGCAAACCTCTCCCTCATGAGCGTTGCACCCGAACGTTCACCCTTCCACTCACCCTTCTCACATGTCGATATGCTCATGCGCCCGCCTGGTTTTCTCCAGAACTCCCGAGCAGTCCGCGCACGCGAGAGACGCCATGGCCAAGGCCCTCTACGCCGCCACCTTCTCGTGGGTGGTGGCCCACACGAACAAGAGCATCCAGGGGGACGACGCATCGGCGGCGGCGGCGGTTGCAGACGGGGTAGGTGGGGCGGCGGTGGCGGCGGCGGGCGTGAACGGCGGGGCGGAGTTCAACACCGACAAGATGTGGGTTGTCGTTGACGTCTGACGGTAGTTGGTGTTGTTGGTTTGTTGGTGGCTGCCGCCACCGCTTTCGCTACGTAGTTGAAACCCCGAAGAACTGCCCTTGTACAATCGGATGCAATAGGGAGTGCTGCTAACGGCATCGTTTTCATTGGTTTTCCAAACCGACGTGTTACGATTGAACCGTGACCGCCAGCACATTGTCATGCATGATCCACTGCTCGTCGAGGAGAGGGCCGACGTACATCGGCGAAGTGATACTACGATCTCCCCACCGGTGACATCCCTCGTACAAAACGCCGCACGTGTGGTGATTTTGACGCTTGTTATCTGCGGGTCCGCGCTGCAGGTTTATCGGGCTGCTGGACATCTTCGGCTTCGAGGTGTTCGCAGAGAACTTCTACGAGCAGTTCTTGATCAACTACGCCAACGAGGTGCTGCAGCAGCAGTTCAACGACTTCGTCTTCCGGCAGGAACAGGTTCGGACGGTTCTGAAGGCGTGCGTCTAAGCGTGTGTTGCTTGCATGTTTCTTTTTCCGACTAAAACTATGGCAACGACGACGACAACGACAACAACACAACAACAACAACAACAACAGCAACAGCAACAACAGAAAAACAACAAAAGTAACCCCATGACAACTGCAAATTTTGTGCCACATCTGCACCCCCCCCTTGGCAGGAGGAGTATCGCCGCGAGCAGCTGGAGTGGACCTTCATTCACTTCCCGGACAATGTGGACTGCATCACCCTCATCGAGAAGAAGCCGAACGGCATCATCCCTACCCTCGACGAGCAATGCATCATCGGCAGGGCAACGGACGATCGCTTCGCCCGCGAGCTCTACAAGAAGAGCGAGAACAACAGCAGGTGTGGCGACCAAGTGCTTATGTGTGCCCATGAAGAAGGCATCGACGTCAGTTGGACCAGTACAGATGTGCTGAGCGGACATCGGAACGGTTTGTATGTGAAGACGACACAATAAACAACAACGATGCTCCCGTGTGGTTGTCGTCATCGTCGTCGTAGTTGGTATAGGACGTCCAGTCTCCGTTCCCCCCCGGTACCATATGCGGCGCTGAAAGCCACCGAGTGTTGACAGAACTGGCGCCAAACCAACTAGTACTTCGAATTCGTTTAAAGCGTCGAGAAGGTGGACCAGGGCAGCCAACTTGAGTGCAGTCAAGCTTGAAAACCTGGTTTAATGAGGATGCGTTATTTACTTTTCTGGATGTTCGATGTCGGATCACTTATTACAGCCTGGTTGTGTTGGTTGCGAGGGCGTGGTTTGCCAGGGTTCCGGCTGCGCCATTAGGGAGCAGAGGAGCCACGATTGGCGCATGCCAGAAAACGAGCAGGCAGCAACGCCATCGCTTACCGACGCCAGCAGCAACACGCCACCGGCACCACCATTTCTGCCAGTAGCCCCTGCACTATAAATTGGCCTTTGCCTTGGAATCGCTTGAACATGGTGTGTCCTATGCCTTTATGTAGTTTGGATATTTTGCTGTGGCAAACGAAAACTCCTACAGTATCGGTGTCATCATACCCAATCCGTCCGCCCACCGCCACAGGTTCTTCGTTTCGCCCAAGATGCGCGTCGACCACCTCTTCGGCATCAAGCACTACGCCGGGGACGTGGAGTACGACACTAGGGGCATCATCGAGAAGAACAGGGACAACCTGCCACAGGAGGGTGTCGACCTCCTCATGTCCTCGGAGATCCCCTTCACCGTGCTCCTCGGCGCGATAGAGGCCAACAAGAACGAAGCCCCTAAGGAGAGCTCTCCTAAGTCCACGGGGCGCCGCGGAGGTGGGTTTTGCTTACCCCCAGAGGCTTATTCGTTCCCGAGAATATATCGCCCACAGTACTGGAAATGGTTCATCGGAAACATTTGTTTTATGTAAACTGAGTTCGCCCGGTGTCGGGCCGTTCGGGACAATAGAAACTTATGAAGCCACACTGCTGTTGCCTTTCATAGGAACGATGACATCCATTCCTGACTCATCGTGAGGCAACGCGGAGAATGACTATTCGATGCCAAATGTCTCTCTCGTTCTTTCCTTAGCTATCCACTCTTCATCGTTTCCCACGGGAGCGAAACACCGTTTTCCGTTGGAAGACGTCTGTCTGCCGGCGGCCGGCGGAGGGCTGTCGACTCACACGAGACCTCTCTCCCGCCCCCACTTTCCAAACAGGAGATTCTCCTCCCCCCTCCCCCCTCACGGTGCTTCGCGCTTGGTGGTGTGCTAGCCTGGTCCGTTGAATGCCCGACGTTGTAGGGACGTCAGGTCAATGATGTAACAACTATTGCACGCACGTCTATGATGACCCCCCTTCTCTCGGTATTGGGTGCCTCCCTCCCGGCATCGCGTGCAGGAGGGGGCGGCCGGAGCACCATCGGGGCGAAATCCCTAGGAACCCAGTTCAAGGAGAACCTGAACAACCTGCTGGGTGTCGTCAACCTGACGCACCCTCACTACGTCAGGTACGCCCTGCCAAAGTCTTAGCAAGGCGGATAGGGATGCATTTAATTATAGTTTTCTGCTGCCAGCTGCTGCTGCTGCTGCTGCTGTTGTTGTTGTTGTTGTTGTTGTTGTTTTTGTTGTTGTCGTTGTCGTTGTCGTCACGGTCGTCGTGTTGACGCTGCCACTGCCATTTTCGTTGCCTCCACACGTGTATGGCGGTGCCTACCACGGCGTGCTGACCAACCCCACCAACTCTTCCACGCCTCACCATCGCCGGTCTCTTCTCACAACCCAGGTGCATCAAGCCCAACGACCAGCTGATCCCCGCAAGGTTCAACTACGTCCGCATCGCCGAGCAGCTCAGGAACGCCGGCGTCCTCGAGGTCGTCCGCGTGGCGAGGGCCGGGTTTCCGGTCCGCCTCGGCCTGCACGAGTTCGTCGAGCGTTATGCTCTCCTCGGCGCGCGGGTCGTCGAGGCGGCCTATCGGAGGGCGGTCCACGACGCGGAGCTGGACCAGGAGCGCTCCGTGTGCAAGGCTCTCATCATGGCCATCCAGGTATTGATGGCGAAGTTGGTGGGTTGTTGGTTTTTTATCCATGTGCAAGGCTCTCATCATGGCCGTCCAGGTACTGATGACGAACATGTTGGTTGTTTCTTATGTCCGTGTGCAAGGCGCACATCATGGCCATCCAAGTACACTGTGAAAAAAAATGCGCGTGCTTGTTGTTTGCTATGTTGCACTGACGCGCCGGAAGTTGCAGTAGGCGGTTCAGTCAGGGTAGGTAGAAGAAACCTTGCGCCTCTGCACGTGTTGAAAACTTTGTCGGCCTGTTCCCAGGTCAAGAACCGGGCTAACTATTCGTCGACAAGCGATAAAATATCTCATCAACAAAAACAACAACAGCTACAACTACAACAGCAATCAATGTCGAATGCCAAATACCCATTGTTTTCCTACCATGTCCAGGAAAAGATTAAGCCTGGATCTCCGGCTTCCGCCGGGAATTTCCAGGAGATCTGCCGGGAACAGGGGATGCAGATGGGTCTCACGAAGGTTTGAGGACCTCTGGTCTGTGTTTGGAGGTCTTGAGTAGCCTTGCGATGTTGTAAAGAATCGCGAGTACGCCTTACGACAATCGAGATATTGCAAAACTAGGAATTATTTTTGTTGTAAATTGGTTTCAGGGATAGCAAATGTCGGCCGGAGACATCGGTTTGAAGTCGGTGGGCGAAGAGCTCCCCAGACGATGTCTGCTGCGAATATCCTTCAGACCCCCGATTGCCGTCAATCTTTGTAGTACTCCGTCCGTCCCGTGACACTGCGCTGAAAAAGGTCACTCAAGTATCACATACCTCTGCGCTGAAAAGGTCTCGAATTCTCACGCACCGCTACCTTCCCAAGTGTTGTCTTTGCACCCGGTCACCCGTTCCTCCTTTCCAACATCAGAAGCCTGTTTGGCGTGATTCCCCTCTCGTGCTGCAACCCCTCTCTCCAAACATTCGTACACTTCTCCCGCTGACCATGCACGCACGTTTCCGCACTTCCCCAGCATAAAAAATGAAACCGCACCGCTCCGCGCCCTTCCTCGACCAAAAAAACAAACGAAACTATGAAAAATACAGATATTCTTCCAGCAGAGGGCCTTCAACAGTATCGAGAAGCTGCGGACGACGATCGTCTCCAGGTCGGCGACCATCGTCCAGACCTTCTGGCGTGGCGTGAGCTGCCGCCGCGCTTTCCTGATCCAGAAAGGTTCGAATTGCAACCAACAACAACAACAACAACAACAACAACAACAACAACAACAACAACAACAACAACAACAACAACAACAACAACAACAACAACAACAACAACAACAACCAGTTGGCAGAACAGTATCTTAACTATTTTCGGAGAATGGATCCGGTATACATGCTGATCTGGCTGGGCCGGATTTGACAAATTTTGTCAGATTTGAAACACGCAACAACAACCAGCTGTCAACACAGTAGTATGTTCGGGGAACACTCTCTTCTGGCCGCGCCGGATTCGATCTTTGTAGTCCAACTTGAAGCACACGACAACAACCAGCTGTCAACACAGTAGTATGTTCGGGGAACACTCTCTTCTGGCCGCGCCGGATTCGATCTTTGTAGTCCAACTTGAAGCACACGACAACAACCAGCTGTCAACACAGTAGTATGTTCGGGGAACACTCTCTTCTGGCCGCGCCGGATTCGATCTTTGTAGTCCAACTTGAAGCACACGACAACAACCAGCTGTCAACACAGTAGTATGTTCGGGGAACACTCTCTTCTGGCCGCGCCGGATTCGATCTTTGTAGTCCAACTTGAAGCACACGACAACAACCAGCTGGCGGGTTTGTCCTTGTTTTCGCAAAATCGATCCGGTGTTCTATCTCCTCTGGCCGCGGCGGATTTGGCCGTTTTATGTAGCCCAGAAAGCTGTTGCAAAGGGGCGGATCGGAGATCTTGTCTCTCGTCCCCCCTTCATCCCGGTTTTGGAGGGATGCGAGGTCAATGGTGCAACGACTACGGCATGCACGACAATGAGTACACCCCCCCCTCCCCTCCCTCTATTCCGGCCAACCCAGTGCCTGTTCCCGTCTAATTGCTTTCAGAGCAACGCCACTTCCGAGCAGGAAAACCTTTACCCGTGACGAATTTCCCACGAGTAGGCTTTGTGAGACTCGCAAAACTCGAAACAAATCTCCTCACTTCTTATTTACTTCGACGGGAATCACCCATACACGTAGCCTTAATATTCAACGTTGTCCTTGGGTCTGTCGACTTTAATATCTCGGCATCCCTGGCCACTAGCTGCCAAACGTTGACCAAAACAACCCAACGTCACACGGGCGCACCGACAAAATTCGTCCACGCGTAGGTCAAAACAACCCGAAGTCTTCCAAGAGTTGACAGTAAATGGTCTTGTGATACGTCCAAGAAAACGTTGTCACGGCGTGACTTTGACGTTCGATCGATCGACGCCACCAGGCTTGATGGCCGCCGGAGACGGGACCCGCCGCTTGCGCGGCCTCGCCGCGTGCCGCATCCAGCGCCTGGCCAGGCGTTACATCTGGACGGTAACGAAGAATCGCCGAGAGGCCGCGGCGCGGGCCGAGCGCGAGGCCCAGCTGGTTGCCCAGATGGAGGAGCTGCGGATCAAGATGCAGGGGGAGATCAACGAGCTCCGGGTGAGTTGCTGTGACGAGGTTCAGACGCGATGCTTTTTTGAATGACCACCGTCTCGTCAATACAGAATACATATGTTTTTATGTAGTATACCGAGTAGCTGACGAGGTCTAGGTACACATAAGTGACCTCTTTCAGCGCAGAGGTATGTGTGTATTTCATGTAGACTGCCCATGGAATTGAAGTCTGAAATCCGAGGTTGCTTCATTTGGGTACGGCATGGTGCACCAGCCGGTAGCACAATCCGAGACAATCCGCTCAATGGGCGGACTTCCCTCGCAATTGCTTTTCGAGTGCGCAAGAGATGAGATGAGGCAGGCGGGCATCTGTTTTGGGCATTGTTGGTGTTAATGAAATGGCTAAATGCTTGAAAAATAGTACATAGTTCGGCGAATCCTGCGATGCGTACAGGCCGAGCTCGCAGAGGCGAAGCAGCTCGCCAAGCAGGGCCAAGCACTGGCGAAGAGGGTGGTCGTCGTGTGCGGCGGCGCGAAGGGCGTCGGCCCGGACATCGCCTCTCGGCTCGTCAAGGAAGGGGCCAAGGTGGCCGTGGTCGACGCCGACTCCACTTCGGCAAAGGGCAAGGTCGGCACCAGTCGTCGTGCAGGGGGGTTGTGGGATAGAAATGTCCATGACCCGGTCAACACAAGGCTGTGTAAAAGTTGGTCTAGCGGGGTCGTAGAATATATATAACCATTACCCAAAGGAAGGGTACAGTAAGAAAATATTCGTGTAGCAGGGTTGTAGAAAAAAAATCTCGGAACCGGTGAAGGTCCCAGTGCAAATGAGTTGAGGTAGCGAGAGGAGTTTGGTCGGCGCCGGCTGAGGTGTGTTTTTTCTTTACCTCCGTGGCCGTCGAGGCATTATCCATTGCGGGGAAAGAATAAACACATTGGAAAGACCTTGAGAACGGGCGCGTGATAGACAGCCGGGGAAAAAAACACTTTATCAGGGCGGGCGTTACAACAAAAATCCAATTACCCATGTCGCAGTTTGTTCGGTCTTCGACAACCTTTTTTTGTAATATAGACGCCGAATCTCCCCTCCTCTTGACATCGACGCACCGGCGCAGGTTAAGGGACTCGACGGAGAAGACGCCTCCGAGAGCATGGCCATCTACATCGATGCCGACCTCATGGACGAGACCAGCGTCAAGAAGGCCCTCGCTGAAACCGTCAAGACCCTCGGAGCCATCGATGGGCTCGTTAACATTCCGCCGCCTCCTCCAACATGCGACTCCAAGACCAACGGACGCCTCCACGACCTCGACCTCAAGAGCTATGAGGTACCAATTGTTTATAGTGGCAAGGCGCCAGAAACCATGGTTGATATACAAGGTGCACCATATTTGGTCTGGAGATAAGTCGAGACACCCTTACACGAGCGTCGCACCGATGATGATGGTCCGTTTGGTCGACATGCTTGGAAGCGTGTAACCGGAGAACGATCAGTCACAGAAGGGGGCCGGTGGTGACGGAGACATCATACGTGTTGAGCAACAACAGAAACGTTCTGAATCGATGCACCATCGCTCTGAGTGCCGTCTACGCTCTCCCTCCATACAATTCCATCTGGGAGTCCCCCGGTTGCACTTTTTCCCTTAACCACCCGCGACCATCGTCACAATTTTCCTCTAGGACATGTTGGTCGCGGAGATGCAGACGCCGATGCTGTGCGCGAAGCAAGCGGCCACGGCCATGACGGGAGTCGGTGGCTCGGTGGTCTTCGTGGCCAACGCCGGGGACCGCGGGCTCACCGACGGCGCCGGTAACGTCGTGGCCATCTCGTCGCTGACTTCGTCAGCTGCGGCCGCCGCCGGTCCCGACGGGATCCGCGTGAACTGCGTCACCCACGCCTTGGGACACGAGGACGACAGGCGCATCCGCGGGGGGCACGGGACCTTCTCGCTGGCCACGATGCGGGCACCGTCGGCGGAGGACGTGGCCATGCAGGTGAAAGGACGCTCACATGTGTGCGGAGAGTTGATGCTGCTGAGACAGGATAAAACAAGAGTGCCTTCGGGCAGCATGACTTGGCTGGGTAGGTAGGTATTCTCGGAGGTTTTCGGTAATCACACTCGGACTATCTTTGCATGGTTTGAAGTCAACATGGAATATAGAGGACTGCTGTGTAAAGGTCGACACTCAAATTTGGGTAGTGGAGTTTCGACGGATGTCAAGCCGGCCGAGAGTATCAACAATATGCACTTTCCGCATCGTTGAGTACCTCCCGGGCAGCGTACACTCACGGTTTTGGGACATTCCACTTGACTCTACCGGCCAACAAGACGGCGCGCTGTGAAATCATTCCCAAACAAAACATGGCTGGGGGACGATTCCGACAGGTAAAAAAGTGACAAGTTTTTGAGCAGCCCCTTTCTCCGCGGCGGGAGCATCGATGTGCCCGAAGCACCTTAATCTTTCCCCTGCCGTATCTCGCCTTCATACTGCGCCGAAGCTTCCCCTACTTGGGGATGAACAGAAGCATGTTGCAGATATTGTATTCCCTACGCAGGCATGTAGTCTCCATGTTCATTATCGGTTAGTGGCTACCAAGAGCGCACTACCCATCGTTAGGAGCTCGTTGACACATACTATTCCAGTTTCTCCCTTACCAATGACGTAGAGCTTGGAAAGCGATCCAGGGAATAGGCATCTCACACAACGCATGCGATGATCCAAACAGACGAATGTTTCGAGCAGCTCCGCACGCCCGCAGCACCTTATTGGTGGAAAACCTGTGTCCTTATGACCTTCCCTGTACCGCACTGCATCCGCCCTCGAGCTCAAGTGCCCCCCCCTGTTGAGATGGATTTCTGTACGTGATTGCTTGACACTTGCCGGTAAGCGTGGCGTGACAGCTATATACGTGGCACAAATTTCAAGTGGTGAGCTCTCCGCAGACTGTGTTGCCATAGTTCCGATGACACCACCTGGTGTAGCGTTCTGTACACATTTCACGGGACTTCCCTCCATGCACGCTGCTTGCCGTGTTCATAGTTCCGACGACAATCCCTCGAGTGACGTGGTATGCTCTCCTATTTCTACGGGATGCGCCCTCCGCAACTACCCGAGCAGGTGGCCCACCTCATATCGGACAGGGCGACCTTCGTCACCGGGCAAACGATTGCAGCGGATAGCGTTCGTTTCTGCTATTGAACAAGAATAATGTCCGACAGTTTTGGCGCTACACAAACATGACCGTTCATACGCGGTAGTCGGGGTTTCCCACAAAAAAATCTTGGAGTGCTTTTTCGGGAATTCCGGTGTTGCTACTGTTGCTGATGGAAACAAGCAGGTCGACATCTTGATGCTTTGGGGGGGGACTCGATGCGGCGTTTCTCGCCTACCGGGTGTTTTATCTGACGTATGTGCTTGTTATGCCCGAGCAAGGTTTAAACCCGATCGTAATTGGTTTAGTTGTAGCGTAGGGAGGCTTCGTGTGTGGCACGTATTCTACGTAGTCAAATAGTGAGATGATGATCAGGGCGGATGCTGCCTTCGTGAAGCCCAATGAGCGCAGCGATCAGGTGCTTCTTCATGTTCCACAGTGTGTAAGTTCAAGTATGAAGTACCTGTGAGAGGGAGGAGTGTCAGAACGACCCACGGGAAGAAATGCTGCATCTTAAAGCATAGAATAAAGTAACGTAGACTACGAAGTCAGCCTAAAGCCATCTTGGCAAACTTAACAAAAGTAGTCACAGCGGGGCGATGGCGTGTTTGTGGATGTGTGGGTGGGGGGTGGGGGGGGCAAGGAGATTAAATATGTATTCGAGTTGTAGCGTAAATCGTAGATCTGGTGGCAATGATGGTAAGGCAGATTTTCCTTGAGCTTATCGGACTTAATTGCTAATTTGGTTGCTATTGAGGCGTCGCCGCCGGTCCTAAGCCTGGACACGGCAGATCTGCATCAGGCATGTGCACCAATCAGTGGCTTCCACGGCGCTTGTCAGCTAAGAGCGTACCACCAGATTTCGAATAGTATTTGTGCCTCTTGTTTGATGCTTTTTGGACCGATGGCGTCGGAAAACTAGGATCTCATTGGAGTTGTCTCGTCGTCCTGAATGACGTTGTTCAGGAGCGAAAAATAGCGTAGAGATAAAGAGCGAAAGTCACTACACTACCCGCCTATGTAAACTTCTCTAGCCAAAACGCAAGCACAACCGGTCACCTGCAAGAGGACGCAACGCGCTAGGCAGCGCTGCCTAGAGAAGTTAATACCATATCTCGGGCAAGGTCGGGATGCGTTCCCTAGCCTGACAGAATTACCCAGAGTCCGTGCCATCTTCCGTTCAGTGAACAGCAGTACACCACAGTGGGGGTCCCCGGATAAAGCGGTCTGATACGGCGATCGCTCTACGGCTGCCCTACATGAAGCTGTCATTATCAGCTGCCCCACCACCCCCTTTTTTTGAACCCCGACTGAACATGATACCGTGGTGTGCGTAATGTGACCTTTGCCTCGACCGGCAAATGCAAGCGAAAGCAACATCACTAGACAAGCATATTGCGTTTTGTTAGCTGTCGGGCCCGACTTGCCGGACGTGTGTTCGCTTCCCGAGTCATTTCGACAGAGACGGAGGCACACACGCGGCTTGTGGCTTTCTCACGTGGCGAAACGGTACGGCAATAAGTAGAGCAGGGATACAGATGGGATTACCCATCACGGCGACACAAAGGTGCAAGGCTTTTCGAAACGCGACGCATGTAGGACCTACTGAATAACTCGCGAATCCTCCATGTATCCTCTTGTAATAATCGGCCTCGAGACATCCGTGAAGATTAAAACACTTGTGGATTGGACACCTCTTATTACTTATCGCCCCTTGTGGAAGGAGACTTCAATGAGCCAGACACGAATCCCGCGACGCACAAGCCTCTGGTATTTCCCAACGTGTCTGTCTCCACTACCCTAAATATACGATACTTCTCTTCTAATGCTTCCAGCGGTGCCAAACCCGTTGTAGCAGACAGAACAGTCTAAGTCAGTTCTCCTTGGAGATGACAATATCCAGAAACAATAGGGGGTCCCGTCCTACCCCGTCCCTCGCTCGGGACTGCAGGTGTGTGTGAAGTTGCGGCATTTTTTCATGGCTGGAGAGGACTCGGTCGCAAAAAAGAAATTATTCGAATGGATTGTCGACATCGGGCGAAGAAAATCCGTGCACCACTCGCGAAAGGGCTAGCCTTTATGCAGCCCTGTCACGAGGAGTATGGGCGGCTCCATGCATTGCAGCACCACCATTACATAATACAACAGCACCAATTACCACATGGCCACAACGTCAACCACCACTACCACCCCACCACCATCATACGGAAACAACAATAACAATGCCGCCGCCACCACCACCACCACCCACAGAACAGTTGCTGCCGGACGTGCGGTGCTGGCACCACCGTCGCGGCAGTCCAGATCATCAAGACCCGTTTGAACTCACAACTCCCTTGTCGGCAATGGGGTTCGCAGTGTTTGCCACAAAGCCGGGCGTGGAACCACCCCTTGCCAACCGAGAAGACGACGGATAGGAAAGCGCTCTGGTCAAGCCACCATTTTCCAAAGCCGGCGGCTGTTGAGAGTGGTCAACGTTTGACGAAAAGGCCCATTCTAGGGCGCTCGCTTTCGCCGAGAGCGAGCGCCCCAGGGGTTGCCGGTGGCACGCTGCCGGTGGCCCCAAGGAACTGCTTCTTTTCCTCCCCTCCCCTCCCGCGGCCGACCGGGCTGTTCGCTCGAACATCTCGATCTTGGCCCGAACCGACACGGTCTTCGAAAGGGCACTCGGGCTCTTGGGGTCGCGGGGGGTGCTGCCGCCCAATGTCGACGAAGTCGCCTCGCAAGCAACAACGACGGTTGTAGCGGAAGCAGCAAACTCCTTCGATTGCCCCCCTCCATCCGGTGGCCAATCGGTGGAGTCTCTCGCTTCGCTGGTCCCGCGGGGGCTCCGTGTGACCCCTTCTTCTCGGCCGGGAGTCTGAGCATTGACCCTCTGTGTTCTCTCTGGTTTCTGGCTTCCATCTCGTTCCTGTTGCTTCTGCAGTATCCCCCCTCCTTTTTCCTGCTTCCCCTCCAGCCGCCGAGGCCTTTTCTCCCCTTCCATGGAATAATCTTGTAACGGTATTACGGAACCGCAGTCTGAATCTCCGTCGAGCATTCTCCGCAGCGCTCCATCTGCCTCCACCCCGTCTTCTCGGACTACTACCTGCGGTTGTGCAATGACAGCGTGGGCGCCGTCATCGTCGTCGGTATTGATAACATCGCTGCTGTGTGTGATGGATGTGGCTGTGAACTCAGTTTTCAGAATCATTGGCCCGGCGATGAGGGTACAGCAACGTCTTGTGCTTACAAATCCAGCGGTGGACAACAATAGCGACACGCATTATAGCCGCGCCCCACCTTAACCTCTACCCGTTCCCTTCCACTTCCTTCATGTGCCAACCTGTCACAGACAACTTCTCACAGGCCACCAAAAAGGAGCGTTGACATCATGTCACGGACATAGAAGCACTACACGGAAGAAGCTTCCGCGGTGGCAGCTGGCTAAGATATCCTCCGCCCTCTTGGTAGGGCTACGGTACCCACCTCGGATGGAGCCGAAGAGTCCAAGGGCAATCTGCTTCTTTCCTTTTCTCCTTTGCGTACCCCCTCGCGTTCCGCTCGTTCAGCATCAGAGCTCGGATCGGAAGTTGTCCAGCCGACCTTCTCCGGCGCCGAATCAGACGTGGTCCAGTCAATCTTGCCCTGCGACCTCGCGACGACATCGCACCACTGTTGCTGCCCCCTCGCTGCCGCCTCGAGGTGCAGCGTCTGGTTGGTCGTCGGCACCGCGTTCGATTGCTGAGCCCGGTCGTCATCAACGCCAGCCCCGCACATCGACGTCGCCGCTGGTACGGTCTCGGGTTCCTTGGAGCACATCGGACCCCCCTCCGACAAGCTGGACTCCGAAGACGCGTACCCGCTCTTCTCCGGTACCCAGCTGGAACGGGGAACGAGCCGGGACGGCTTCCCCTGCCGACGGTATTTCCCGTCTGTGATCACCCCCATGCTGGGCGGGAGCGAGTCGAATCTTTGGCCGGATAACCACTGCTGCTGTTTTTCTTGTTGTTGTTGTTGTTGTTGCTGCTGCTGCTGTTGCTGTTTCTGCTGCTGCTGCTGCTGCTGCTGCTGCTGCTGCTGCTGCTGCTGCTGCAGCTGTTGTTGTTGCTGCTGCTTCGATCGTGGCGGTTTCATTCTCACCGTGACTTGCACCGTGGTCGCGGGAGTCTCGTTCTTGTCGGGCTCTCGCACGGGAGAACTCGGATCCGGTTCAGAATTGCCGCCTCTCACCGGAGCGGGACGCGGAACAAGGGGCGCCCTGTCGCCGTCTGCCCGCGCAGATTGCGCGAAGGTTTTGGACTGTTCGCTTCCAGCATCGCCCGCAGCAGTGGCGGTTCCAGCAGGGGTACCAGCACCTTCGGTTCCGCTTGCCGCTTCTCCTTGGCGACGGTTGGTGGCGTCCTTTCTTCGGGCCATGTCCTCCAGCTGCCGAGCTAACGACGTGTGCGCGCCAGGGCGTCGGTCACCGGTCGCCTTAGCGGGCGCGGTGCGAGGCGTGGCCTCCAGCGACGCCCCGCGCGATCGGGGCTCGTTCTGTTGCTTGTTTTTCTGCTGGTGCTGGAGCTGCCGACCACCCCTGCAAGTGGGATCCGACCAGTAGCGCACAAACACGGGTTGAAAGGGGAAGGGGCGGCGAGACAGGCTCTCCTATGTTGGAGATTGGCACGGGTGCGATCGAAAACCGATCGGGGTGATAGTGAAACTTCGAATGGACAACGCCGGCACTTCACCGCAATGCTCTTTTCGTAGCTCCCGTTCAGCGAGATCCATCCATGTCAAGCCAGCAACAACGAAACATTTGCGGGCAGGGACAACCTACAATATGTCAAACAGGACGCATTACTGCCGAAAGCGAGTGGCTAGCAACCGCAAACCCATATTGTTCAGCGTTGTCTGCACTACGTAGCCAAGCTTTGAAATATCGTTCCTTACCTTATGCGATCTCTGATCGGAGATATCAGGCCGAGTCTTAGTACATGGAGTATCAACAATTTAGCCCTCCATCTTGGTGCCCGACAAGAGTCATTGCGTCACCCCAAAAACTAGGGCTCCTAGATCGATTGAACGGAACCCTACCTGGTGTCCGGGTCAGTGGCCCCGCCCCCGCTGCCCGAACTGCGGAGAGCACGGCCGCCCGCCGCCGATTGGCCAGCGCCACCGACGTGCCTAGACCCTGCCGCACCACTGTCACCCCCGTCACCGCCCTCGCCGCCCTCGCCGCCCTCGCCGCCGCCACCGCCCCCACCGCTGTCTCCGCCCCCAGCCGGGGGCTGACCAATCAAGCGCACGTCAGGTGCGGACGACACGCGGTTAACAGTTCCGGAGGCGTTGCCAGGGCTGCCGTAGAGACCATTCCGCAGGCGGCGTAAGTCGCCGTCATTGAACAGCGGGTTGGAGCCTTCCTGCGGTACCCCACGCGCGGGAGACTTGCCCGCGGTCGAGGGCGGGGCGCCCGACGTGCCTGGGGTCGGGGCGGCCGAGCGGGGCCCGGGGGCGCCGTCGAACGAGTCATCTAGGAAGAGCCCGGCGAAGTCACTTCCCATGTGGGGACTGTGTTCGAGGCTCACACCTTTGTTTTTTGCAACGCAAACCAATCAAATTCGGGGGGAGTTTTCGCACCTTCGTTTTTCGCACAGC